TCTCTGAATGAAACCAATTCAAGTTTGAGAAAACCTGGATGACAAGGGGGGGGGGGGCATGTAAGAAATAAGTACAGAGTCTAATAGTTTACTTTCCACTTCAAGCAGGTTACATGCATTTACTCCGTAATCTATCACATACTTCATGATCCTTATGAAATGTGATGGGATCAATAACGCATACGTTTTTATCTTAAAAATAAATCAGTACCTGGTCAACAACCAAACTGATCACTAGTTGTTTAATTACCTAGGATAAATGATAAGTTCTATCTTGAGATAAATTTCTATGGAGCCATTGAAAAACAGCTTGTTAGTCATTGCTTATCTTCTGTGACAGGAAAAGCGTCAGATGATAGAGGAAAGCCGCCAGAACCGTACCGTGTTCGTGCCGTCAACCAGCTTCTATCACTCGAGGAAGCTCATCAACCAGACGGCCCTGTTCAAAATGATTCATAAATTGCCCAAGGGTAGGTAGTAGCTAACTTTCGAACTATCGTATTCTGATAGGGGCTTGAGATTACGCTCTCAAAACGCCGGCTGGTACAGCAGCAGCCTGCTTCATCTGTTGCTCAGTGACATATAACATAGTCTCACCGTAGGACTCTCCCCGCCATCCGTGTCTCCCTTGCAACATCCACTGGGGGGGGAACAAAACTTTGTCTAGGAGGTACTTTACTCATTTGACTGTTGAACAAAACTTTGTCTAGGAGGTACTTTACTCATTTGACTGTTGAACAAAACTTTGTCTAGGAGGTACTTTACTCATTTGACTGTTAATCATGAACATTGTCTATGAGGTACTTCACTCATTTGACTGTTGAACACGACATTGGCTAGTTGGCTAGGAGGTACTTTACTCATTTGACTGTTAATCATGAACATTGTCTATGAGGTACTTCACTCATTTGACTGTTGAACACGACATTGGCTAGGAGGTACTTCACTCATTTGACTGTTGAACACGACATTGGCTAGGAGGTACTTTACTCATTTGACTGTTAATCATGAACATTGTCTATGAGGTACTTCACTCATTTGACTGTTGAACACGACATTGGCTAGGAGGTATTGTATTTAATAGCTGTTGATCAAGACATTATCTAAAAGGTATTTTAGTTTTGAAAAAGACATTATCTAGGAGGTGTTTTACAGCTGAAAGGGACATTATCTAGAAAGTATTTTACTGTTGAACAAGACATCTTTGAGGTATTTTACTGTTCAAAAAGACATAATCTATGAGGCATTTTACTGTTGAAAAATACATTATTTAGAAGGTATTTTACTTATTAGACTGTAGAACAAAACATTGTTTGGATATATTTTACTTATTACTGTTCTGTTAAACAAGACATTAACTAGAATATGTTTTAATTTTGTTATTTTCAACAACGAAAATTCTCGAACATTTTGCATAGTGTATTTAATGACACAGAAATGTCCAGAACAGGATTGCAGTGATTGGTTTTAACCTGACGGAATCTGGGGATGTTTGAGGAACTTATACAGTTCATTATGTGATGAAGCCAGTGGCGTAGCTAGGGTTGATGCCACGGGGGTGGGGGGAGGGGGCGGCACGATCTTTGCAGCCCTACTAGCACCACACACACACACACACA